AAACAGGATTTATACCTTTCTCAAGGGGCAGTCACTTCTGTGCCATGCGTGATACACGCTTAAGCGGTCATGTATCTTTCGGTACATGACTGACGAGGCAGATTTTTTTCCGCAGTAGGTTGCCATTTCTTTCTGCAGTAGACCAGTTGCCATCCAAGGCTATAGAGCCCAGTCTGTCTTGCTATTTACTCATAGCCGGTGGGGTTAGAAAAACAGGATTCATACCTTTCTCAAGAGGCACTCACTTCTGTGCCATGTGTGATACACGCTTAAACGGTCATGTATCTTTCGGTACATGACTGACGAGGCAGATTTTTTTCCGCAGTAGGTTGCCATTTCTTTCTGCTGTAGATCAGTTGCCATCCAAGGCTATAGAACCCGGTCTGTCCTGGTATCTACCTATAGCTGGGGTGGAGAAGAAGAGGATTCGTGCCTTTCTCAAGGTAATTAGCACGTAAGTGAATGTAATAGATTCGACTGTAATTCGAACTCGGCTCTCCTTTTTTTCTTATACCGTTCCCATTGACGCATTAACGCGTCTACTTTGGAATTGTGTCAGACTAGGCACTTCCTTAATTTACAGAATTGAACGCGTTTCATTAAAAACGACATGAATGGCAGACAGTGTATAGTATTGTCTGTCGTCGGACAGACGTACTAATAAACTAGATTTAATCTTTGGAAAGAAAACCACAACAAAAAAAAATGCAAAAGAATAAAAAGTAACGCTTTTTGTCATGAGAAAATTTAGTTTTTTTTTCTTTAAATAAAAAAAACACGTTTCTTCAGGCGAACTTTGGAAAAAAAAATATTTCTGTAAATGTGAGCAGTAAAAATGATAAGCTAATTAAAATAATCCAAGTCTAACCCCATCAGCATCATTGCTAGTGAAGTATATTCCATCTTTTTTTCATTATTTTACTAATCATAAGTCTGCGATTACTAATATTAATAAAAATGAGACAAGTGATAAAAAAGTTTATGAAGAAAATAAGAATATGTTATTTTTGGCAAGAATAGTCAGTCCAAAATACCGCGTCTCTTTCCTTCTGTTCAATTAAAAAAATATAATATGGAATATATATTAACACAGCCACAGAAGAAAATTTGAACTTCCCGCATATGTTTTTTTTTCACAAGAATCGGAAATAATAATACAGAGGGTCAATAACATTAACCAGGACATTATAACTGTATTTGGAAACTGGTAGCGCGCGCTACAGAAAAATTAAAATAAAAAAAAAAGTTTCTTCTTATTCTATTTGCCGCGTCCGTTAAGACAGACGATCAAGTCTCTCCGCAACTTCCTATCTCGTGGGGCTCTTAGCAGTTTTTCACCGTTTGCTAAGGACCCCCGACCCCCGTTCCGACATCCATTCACACAAGCACAAGTGCTCACTACCCTCCACTATCTCTCTTGTGCTACCGACTGGTAGTTAGGAGCCCTAACTCTTGCGTAGCGTCTTGAGCGTCCGCTCTGATCAACAGTTGTATAATATCGGGGTGTTTGTAGTGCCATGTCGCGCATGGAAAGGTGTCCCTGCAGTCACCTCCGGTGGGCAAATCTGAGGCCACATTATGATGCAGGTGTGCCAACTCCTCTCTGCCCGCATCACGGTCGTAACTGTCTGCTTCTTTCACATCGGGCCTTCACATCTTCCAACGAAAATTCAACATGACTTACAAAGACCGAAAAAGTAACCCTAAACCAACCACTCATAAATCACCTAAACCCCTCAACATTTCGTTCTCCAACATCCGTGGCATTAGAAATTTCTTTTTTCCGATTCTGAATATAAGTGTTCTTTTAGTTGCTATTTTTTTTTAAGATGTCCTTGTTTCTTACTCGGAAATGTTCAGTATCCTTTTCTAGAACCACACTTTTACTTTTACTGCCTCTATTTTTCTCTTCATCCGTGGGGGGGGGGGGTCTAGCATTTAATACCACATAAAAGGATGGAGATAACATAGCAATTCAGTACTTTTTCTTTCCTTCTAAGTAAAATTTCCCGCTTCGCCGCACATTCCTTAGATTATGGAATGATTATTCCGCTAGTCAAATTGGTGATTCAAATATCGCTGTTGCATTTTCCATCATCCGTCAATATTCTTCCCAGAAATAGGAACTTTTGCGCCTGCTTGATGTTTATATCTTTAATTCTTAACTCACATCTTGGATTTTCTTTCTTGGTGATGATCATAATATTTGTCTTCATACAGTTGATTAGGTTAGTCCTTTTTTCTCACTTTCTTTCTCGTGTAGCCGGTACTGTTGTTTCCTTTCTGATTCGGCTATCAACACAGTGTCATTTGCATATCTTATATTGTTAAGATTATATCCACCGAATATAAGTCCAGGTAGGGTGTCCAGTCCAGTTCCTTGAGGATATGGTCATCGTAAAAGACGAATAAATTTGGGAGGATGAATCCTTGTCTCAGGCCCCTTTCTAATTTTATATATCTACTCATCCGTATACAGAGGATTTGCTCAAAATATAAGTTCTGTATTATTCTGATTGTGTTTCCAAAGAGTAGAGTTTCCCTAGCAGTGGAAATAGATCCTTGCGTTGTTCCGGAATGCTACAAGATCTGAAGATAAACCGTTATAAACCTTCAAACAATTCACTGAAACTCGAACTCAATGATCTTCCTTTTCTTCTATGGGCTCTGTTCCTTCAGGATGTAAACGATCATGGTTCTCCACAACTTCCTATCCTTTTAGCTTTTAGCAACGATTTACTTTTTTCTATCCCTCCCACTTCATCTGCCATCGATTTACCTAGACATATTACGTAGGTTTTCACCGTCCATATTGACTTCAGTATATCCTTTAAGTGCCGATATTTACAAGACTTCTTATCCAGGTTAACAGTGATAGAAACATAGAAAGAAAAAACGCGAATCAATGACCGTTTGGACGGGAATTTGTCAGTACACTGAAGATGAACCGAAAGAGAATTACTTAAATGTTGAAGGATGCATAATAATTAGAATTTGTAGAAAAAAAAGCTATTAAATATCAAGGAAAATTATATAACTCTACATATAAAGCAAGTTAAAGTCGATAAAAATTTAACCAGGTAACATATATTCGGACATATTCAGGGCATTCTTAATATAACCGCCAGGGAATACGGTTAAGAATAAAAGTGAATGAGAGGAATATCATCAAGGTTCTTATATATACTATTGGGGAAATAGAAAGTTGTGAGATTTATGTTTTAGTTTATTTTACGGCATATAAACAACTTAATGGGTTATTTAATGCCGACAAAATTTTTATTACTAGTAATATTTTTCTTCAAAAATGTATTGCTGGTAATATTTTTCTTAAAAAATGTATTACTGGTAAAATTCGTTGCTGGTAATAATTTTTACAAAAATGTATTGCTGGTATTAAAACCTATTTTTACACTTAAAAAGTCGTGTGAAAAAAACGGATCGTTTTTGAGACGGAAATTGGTAATCTTATTAAGAACAAGATCCAAAGACCAATATGCAATGTGATAGGTCATGACCTGGTATCTCGACTCCATTCACTTTCTCACTGAAGTGATGTGGCTTCCCTCTGTCTTTTCTACAAATATTTTCATAGCAACTGCTCTGACGAGCTATTTTCACTGCTACCCCAACTGCATGATTTTAAGCGCGCTACTAGGTTGGCATCCATGTCCCACCCTTTTACTGTCGAAAAAGTTAAATATAACCGCCTCTTTTAATACAACAGATTCTTCTTTCACACTTCCCGACAGTGGAATTCCCTTCCTCTTACTAGCTTCCCTGATAACTATAATCTTCAAAAATGTAAATGTAATGTCAATCAACTTCTTCTGATGCCTTGATCTTGATCCCCGCCCTTCTCTTTATGCTTTCCATAAACACTCCTCTTTTCTCACACTTTCACTCTCTATAACCGCTTGCGTGCTAGTGGTATTCCTGCCTTGCTTGAGGTGAAATGCTTAAAAAAAAAGAAAAAAGTACACTAAGTAACTGAAAACTGGGGTGGAAGGCAAAAAATGTGTTTTCTTATCGGAGTTATTACAACTTTACTGCAGGGTGTTCCGAAGTGTAAGAGAGATTTGTAAGAAGATAGAATTGTATGAAGATAGAAGTGTAAGTTAGAATTGTAGGAACATAGAATGTATGATTGTCAATAAGGAGCAACAGGTCAAGATGCCAAACTGGAGATCTCGAAATCTACCAAGTACGAGAATTTAATTATCAGGGAAGTGTCGGGTTGTGGCCTTGTTAGGGCCAGAAATAAAGACACAAAAATAAAAACTGAGTTAACCAAATCTATTAACAGAAACAGTAATACAAACATATACAAACGAGGGTGTTACAGCAAGAATGTTCGGTCCGACTGTCAGAACTGACTGCTAGAAACTCCCCTCCCTCTCCAAACGGCAGTACCTGCTCCTGTTTATAGCTGGGAGCGTCCATGCGTGCGTGGGTAAGTTACCATAACATGTTCTAATAAAGGACGGAATATACAACACCAAAATCCGAAGGTGCATTGGATTAGCGAAAGAAGCCTTCCAAAAGTCAAGCAAAGTATTAAAAAACAGGAAAATTTTGTTAGAAGCAAGGAATAGATTTTTATTATTATGTAGTATGAGTCACCCAACGTGGCAGTAAATGTTCTGTTATCTCCTCACATATGAAGAAAAGACTTGAGGCAACAGAAATAGTGTATTACAGAATGATGCTGATATTACCATGAGCTGAACATATGAGTCAACCGAAAGTTTGAAGGAACACTGAAACGAAAGAAAGAATATCCATAAAATCAGTGGGAGATGGTTGAGATATCTATGACACATAATGAGGAAAGAGGACCCGTTGAATCTGACACTCACAAGACTGATAGATGTAAGCAGAGGATAAACTAACGAGCTAAATGGATAGGGGAACAGAGACTGGGAGAGATAACGGAGCAAGAAATCTTAGCAGGAGCTACAAAGGATAGAAAATTGTGGAGAGCCTTGATTGTCTACGACCTAAAGGAAACACGACACATAGAAGAAGAAGAAGAAGAAGAAGAAGAAGAAGAAGAAGAAGAAGAAGAAGAAGAAGAAGAAGAAACTTACTACAAACATAATACAAATAAGAATATGAAAAGAGGTAAAATCTTGGAGACAAAACTGTGTTCTTTCCAGATGATAAATTGAGGGAAATTCAGATATGAAGATTTAAGAATGTTATAATAGTATTACTAACCTAACTAATTAAATAATATAATAATATGTTGATCAATAAATACTAATGTAACTAATTAAATACAACCAACAACTCAAGTAGAACTCGTGCATACGATCCATCGCTAAAGATGCTGGAAAAATGGTCAGTTCTCAGTACCGCTCTAGTAAATACTTGACTCCTCTTGTTATCCTCTAACTTTCCAAGGGCCAGATCGGACCAAAAATGGAGTACTGATAACATATATGGGCAGGAGATGCCCAGACCACTTTCCAGTTATGTCAGTGCTCAAAAGCGTCCTCACGGCCGTATGGTAAATGGATTATTTCCCACCTTACAACTACTTTCCTATAAAATAGGCGTCGCGAACCTCTCGCTGCTCTGTCTCTATTTCTATGGAGGGCTTAGACGAATTACATTCTTTAGTTTCACCATTTTTAACCTTCATAGCTAAACCCCGCCATAATCGTTTTTTGTTTAATCTGTCTCAAACTTAAAGAAAAACGATTACAGTTTGACAGGCACTACCACCGAACGGACAGGGAAATCGTCTCATCCATACTCATATGGCATCCTTCTGGAAGTGTCTTCTCACGAAAATTAACTTTCCAAGATACCATAGCTCGGGACTCAGAGTTGACCATGGGGGATCAGGGGACAGCGTTACAGGAACGAACAGTGTGAAAAGGAATTGTCAATGGAGGTCGGACCAAACATATTTCGCAGGATGATGATGATGAAGAAGACCCGACATGCCGCATATAATGTAGCGAACCAGCCTCATTCCCTTTGTAATATGTGAGATGATACTTTGTGGACCCGACTCCCGAGGTGATGTTTCCCCGCTTAATTTCAATCTTAACCTGTTCAGTTCTAATGTTAGCCGTTATCTTCCCTAAATATCTCCATAAATTCTTCCTTTTACTCTGTAAGCCTCTACCACGAGTGGCTCATGGGCGTTGTAAAAGAATAATGATGGTGACGGTACAATCTCTATCGATAATAAGAAATGGTCTGAAATCTCAAAGCGGCTATTTTTCTACTGCGATAACTACCAGAAACCTGGTGTAGGCACAGTAATACGATGTGCAATAATTTTATTCCCAGAATGACGATAACGTTTAGATTATGTGGACTTGATGTCACATGATCTTTAGTAATAGCTACTGAGGAGATTTCTTGACTGTTGACATGACTTGTTTTTACTTGACTGCTAGGGAAAGACGCAAATAAGTACTAGTTTGAATGGACACTGATGAGTTTACTATAATAACAATGAGACTTGCTGCGATTTAATAAATGCCACCAATTAGAATTTAGATGTCATCTTACGGTACTTCTGTGCCACATGTTCCATCGTACATTATAACACTTCCTAGACATTGAAATTAAATTGATGTGCCAGATTGATATTGACGTCTCCAATTCGTAGCAGGCATTTTGTAATCAAACTCTTGATAACGAACATGCTTTTGGTTTTCTTATTGGTGTTAATTTTTTGCATTTCGCTTTTCTTCGCGATTTTGTCACCGTTAAAGTATATTTTATTACAAAGTAGCCGAATTACGCGCTCGCTGCTGCATGTCACACATTTTTTGTAAGAAAATAACGATTGATTTGAAATCATTACGAATCTGTGAGCCGAGTTCGAATCCCAGTCGAATCCATGACTTTCACTCACGTGCTAATACACTTGGGAAAGATATGAATCCTCTTCTTCTCCCCACCCCAAGTATGGGTAATTATCAGGACAGATCGTGTTCTATAGCCTTGGATGTCAACTGGTCTATCGCAGAAAGAAATGGCAACCTATTGCGGCAAAAAATCTGCCTCATCAATCATGTATCGAAAGATACATGATCGCCTAATCCTGTATCACACATGGCACATAACTGACTGTTATAATTTGTGGGGGAAAATGAAGCATTTCAGTATTACTCAATGATCTTGCCGATGTGATCTCTGTTTTCTGGCTTTCTCCTTCTATATTTAATTAAAATCAAAGAGAAAAAAATCAGTGGCTGGGTTTGCAAAAACAGCTAGATCTGATTCCATTGATCTGTATTTGATGCAATATTTGATTGAAGGAATTGATGAGGATACATCAACATTGCTATGACAGTTAAGTTTTTGCAATGTATTTTAAAGCACTACTCACTGATATGTGATTTCTTGCTCAACTTGGCGTCCATATTGTCTCATTTTGATCTTTCCGATATAACCTCCATCTTCTGGCTTTCTCCTTCTATATTTTGAATAGGAGCCATTCCCTTGTTCAAATTTAAATTCAATTTAAATCAAAGGGGAAAAATCAGTGGGAAGTTTGTGCCCCACGGGGATCTCTTTTGAGCAAAATGAAATATACATATTAAAGTACTCTAGGAGTCATTTCTTTGTTCAAATTTAATTTTCATTTATATCAAAGGGAAAAAATATGTGGGTGGTTTGTGCCCCCCACCCCCGGGACCCTCTTTGATGAAAATGAAATATATTCATCCAAACACCCTGAGTAATGTAGTTTCGAAATATATATGGTTATGGGTAGGAGTATCTCCAAGACCTTAGGACGAGTTCGATAACAAGCAGACAGACAGACAGTGGCTACAACTTTACATATAGAGAAGCTATACTTCTCTATTCCGATGCACCTACAGGTTTCTGTGTAATAGTGTTTTCTGTTAAAACACTTCGTAGTTAATAAACATATCTGTATATGCCTGATTTTGACGTCTCTAATCCGTAACTCGTATCTTGGATTGTCTTATTTCCTAAAGACTACAGCTTCTGTCTTTTTACAATTGAAGGTTTTTTTCTTGTTATCGGTTGAGTATGTGTCGACAAATACGGACGGACAACTCAGCAGTTTCAGAATCGAACACTGGATCGCGACGAGTAATGCATGGACAACACTTCCGCATAAGAACACCATATGTACGGGACGAACGCAACAGAGACACCGGAAACAGAAACAAGGAAGAACGAATTTGAAACGACGCGGGGCAACACGAACAATAACACACAGCAATCCAGTTGTGCGGACAAAGCTATGTACTAACAAGCTCTATATCTACAATAGTTAGTCCATTCTTCTCACTTTCTTTCTACTAACTTATGTCAAATGCTGAACTCTAATTGATGTCAAAGTCAAGTTACCAATAAGGATCTATTTTCTTTAAAAGCTCGTCACGTTCTGGGTTTGAAGATAAACTTCATCCGCGTCCTGGGTAAGACGATAAACTACATCCGATAGCAAGGATCAGGAGGTTTTGAGAAGTGTGGAACCACTTCTTAATTGCTTTTGTTCTCAGGTTCACGCTGACCTAGATAGGATTCCAGTTATGAGCAATTAGTTAATCCCAAATTGGGGTCAAAACATCATGAAAGTGAAAAAAAAAGGTTTTAATACTAGCAAAACCTTTTTTGCAAAAATAATTACCAGCAACGAATCTTTGGAGGAAATAATTATTATCAGAAATTCATTATTACAAGCAATACATTTTTTAAAAAAAATATTAGCAACAATGCATTTTGGGAAGAAAAAGATATTACTAGCAATACATTTTTGAAGGGAAAAATATTACCAACAATACTTTTTTTCAAAAAATATATTACCAGCAATACGTTTTTGGAAAACAAAATATTACCAGCAATACTTTTTTAAACAAAAATATTACCAGAAATAAAAAATCTTCTTGACATTAAATAGCCCATTGAGGTTGATCTTCTGTAAAACAAAACGAACCATAACAAATCAAAACTTCGTCATTACACACGTATTCAGTTCCTTCTCAACATCTTTATCTAGAACACTATTTTTGTTAACTCAAGCTTTTGCTAAATCTGTAAAGTGATCGTCCAGCATTCACTTCCACGGAAGAAGATCGATATAATATAACAGTTCAATACGCGTTTCGATGTTTCTAACGATAGATAGATTTTAGAAGTCATCTTCCACTATACCCAGATTTCTTCGGATTACAATATCTCAGATTCCCTCCACTGTTAAAAAAAAATCTTCCTAGATATTGAACTTTTTGGACTTGCTTGATTTTGTTGTCTCCGCTTCAGGTTTCTCATTTTTTTTTCTGACAATCACACATTATATTATTTTTATAATCGATGTATTGTCTTTTCTTCTACCTCTCCTTTAATAGCTCCTGTAAGAAATACTGCTATTTCCTTTCTGTTTCTGCTATGACATCTGTGTCATCTGTCATAGTCTTAAGATCTCTCTTGACCATTCTTTTTGTCTTGCTGCATTTGATGATTTGTCCTTTTTTCTTGCTTTCCTGGCTAGTAGATTCTATAGTTTTCTTTCCAAGTCGGCCAACAACACAGTGCCAGCTTCATATTTTATACTGTTAAGATTACGCCCACTGATAATAAATAAATTTCCCTAAGTTAGCGGCGGTACAGAAGTTCAATAAATCTGGGGAGAATCCGATTCCTTGTCTAGTTTTTTTTTTATAGCAACTCAATTTAATTTATATTTATATCGGGTGGTTATTCTAACATCGCTTTAAATAAATCGAGTTTTCCTAGCAGTTCAAATAGATTCTTTTGCATTACCAGAATGCTACTTGTTATGAAGACAAATTGTTATAATCTTCAGACAAGGCATTGACACTCATACCACAAAGAAGGTGCTATAACATTCCTCTTCTTCTATGTGATTGGTCTCTTTAGGATTGTTACAATCATGACTACATGGAAATAAATCAAGCTTACCTAGCAGTTCAAATAGTTCTTTGTGATGTAGTTAACTAAAATCTAAATTACTATTAGAGTGAAATAATATCGACCCTTGAACTGCACTAATAATGATATTTGCGATCGCTTCTTCGCTCTCAACAGGAAAGATACCCCGAGAGTGAAAATTCCTTAGCAAATACGAAGACTAATTAGTACCGTTAACTTCATTATCAATAATACTCTGGTAATAGAGTTTCTACCAGTTTCTCTCTTCATCTCAATAATAATAATAATTTTAAAATAAATAAAAAAAAAATAATAGTGTCGGCAATGACATCGTCCCTATATTTTTTATATAGTGGATGTTACCCAGCGGGAAAGGTGGGATATTTTTGCCCTGTCGATGAAGTCTTTTCTGACTGTCGCTTACTGGTGACACGACGAGAAGAGACGATGTTGACGAAAGTCGGAAGCTGACAAGATGACAGAAATACCACACCTCCTTATCCCAGTTCACGTGTATCCACCCTCACCCTCAAATACCCGCGGGAATGTGAGGTTGATCGCTGTGTTTGGGAGTCACAAATGAGAAAACATTGACAGCATGTCAATTGGGATTTTGGTGTGTTTGTCCGGAGAAAAGGGTGTGGGGTTGATTGAGGTCTTCTGCGGGGTTTCAAGAAGTAGCGGAAGCTTTTAGGGGATAATGATGTTTTAGGAGAAGAGGTCATGGGAGAAAAAGAAAGAAAAGAAAATTAGTAGTACGGGGGCCATATTCTTTGAAAGGGAAAAAAGTCTTGGAAGGAGAGTGGTAAGTGAGAAATCAGAGATCTAATGGTTTTTCAAGATGTCATCAAAGGTAGAAAATATTACGAGCCAAAACGGAGGCGTATTGGCTTACGAAGTGTAGTCATCGGTAAAAAAAAAATGCAGAAAATAAAAGAAAAAGGAGTGAATAAACAAATTTTGAAACCGTGTAAGAGAGAGTGAAGTGTAATGTCTGGAAAATGGAAGCCATGTTAAAACGAATAAAATGAGAGAAAAATAAAAGAAAAAAATTTGAAATAAATAATGGAGGACAGTTAAAAAAAGAAAGAAAGAAAAAGAAAGAAAGAAAGAACCTCTTTCAGACAAGAAAGTAGGAAAGGAAACTAAAAAGAAAAACTAGTAAAATGAATACAAAGATCGAGAATTCTTTCATAAGAAGAAGAAAATGAAAGAGAAAGAACAAAACAATGGAAAGTGTTAGATAAATTGAAAGAAAAAGAATATTAAAAAGGAAGTGCGGGGAGTATATATAGAAATAAAATGAAAGAGTTGAAGATAAATAGAGAGATAGAAAAGAAAGAAATAAGCCGCAAAATGAGAAATAGTACATTCTGAAAGAGAAAATAGGACATGAAAATAAAAACATAGAAAACAAAAATTAGTAAAAATAAGATATCGCACTTTTCGAAAATGAAACTAGGAGGTAAATTGAAAATGAAAGTAGGAGGTAAATTGAAAATGAAAGTAGGAAGCAAATTGAAAATGAAAGTAGGAAGTAAATTGAAAATGAAGGAAGAGAAAGAGTTATTTACATTCGAAATGTACATAAAGGAAAAAGAAACTAACATAAAAGAAAAGAGAAGGAAGAGAAAGACAGCATGAAGTAGTGATGACACTAGAAGGTAAATCGAATTTGGAGTAAGAAAATAACAGCTAAAAAGGGTGTTGCAACTTTCGATAGATGAAAAAAAGAAGAAAGACAGTAAAAAGAAATGAATGACAATAGAAGTTAAATCGAATTTGGAGGAAGAAAACAAACGTTTAAGAAGGGCGCATTAACTGTCGAAAAAGAAAGCCTTGGATGAAAGGAACGAGAGAGAAGGGAAAGGTGATAAAATGGAGTGGTGATTCAAAATGGTAAAGCGAAAATGAAGCAAGAGAAAAACAGTAAGAAAAGATGTATTAAAATGTCGAAAGGAAAAGGTGGTAAATGTATTAAATTTGTAGCTAAATAGAAAGAGAAAGAAAATGAAAAAAAGATAATAAAAAGTGAATCGAAACGAGAGTGACGAGTAACGAGCAAATAGAAGCCATAATAAGAAAAAAAAATTAAATGAAAAGAAAGATAGAAAAGGAAAAATTTGAAATAATACGGGAGGAGATTAAGTGAAAAAATGAAGGAGTTATAGAAAAAAATAAACGCTAATATCATTGCATAAAAAAAGGAAAAGAAAAAAAGAACAAAAAAAAAAAAAGAAAGAAGAAAACGCAAAAGAAGAAAAAAAGAAAAAAATAGCAAAGAAGTAAAGAAATGATAAAACCATGTATACTTTCATAAACGGAGGCAGAAAGATGAAGTGAGAGAAGGTGAAGAAAGAATGTAGCTTTAGAAGTAGAAGGTGGGGGGTGCATAGAATGAGAAAGTGCAGAATGAGAAAGAAGTGACTAAGTTTAGAAAGAGAAAGTAAGCTAAATGAAAGAAAAAGAGTAAAAAAAGAAACAGTAGATTTAGAAAGTGAAAGTAGACGAAAGTGAAAGGAAAATAGAAATAGATTAACAGAAATGTTGCATTATCTTTTAAAAGCGAAATTCGATGAATCAAAAAAAAAGAAGGAATAGAATTAGAGTAATAAGATGAAACGAAAGAGTAAACAGATAAAGACAGTAAAAGAAGTGACATCTTTCGAAGGAGAAAGAAGAGGATGAATGCAAAGAGAAAGAAGATCGGAAAAGAAGAAGTAGAAAGAGAAGGAAACGAAAAAGAAAAGCATAGAAATATAATAAAGAAAAAATAAGAGAAATATTTTTTTTAAGTTAACAAAATCCAGGATACCTTCATAAAAGAAAATAGACGTTGCGACGGTAGAGAAAGAAGAAAAAAATGATAGTGAAAAAATTAGCGTACATTTGGAAAGGAGAAGTGGTAGATAAATCAAAAGCGAATGAAGAAGAGAAAGACTGTGAAAAAGGGAAAGAGGATGAAAAGAACTCAAGGTGATCAAACGAGAAAAAAAAACGAATAAGTACATACGAAAGTAGATAGTACATCAAGAAAGAGAAAAACGACAAAGAAACTAAAGAAAAAAAATACACAGAAATATAAGAAAGAGAAAGTTTCAGAAAAAAGTATGATTTTTACTGATTGATTTTTTACGGCTTTCAACCATTTGCAGGTTATTTAAAGCCAGAAAATATTTTTATATTGTAGGAATTGTTTTTCTTACAAATTAATAATAATTTACTGATAAAAATCCTACTAAATAGTTCAGGAAATTTCTATACACAAGAAATTATACAAACAACGACAAATGCAGAAAACATATTTGTTAAAACTAACGTTCTATTGAGGCAAGCCTCAAGAGTCACTCAAGCTAGAGGTTGAGTTAACGAGGAGTGTGATGTGAATGTTAAAAGAAGTGGTAGCAAGTGAAATTTACGCGGATAAGGAGGAGAGATAAAACATGAGGCTTAACATAAAGATGTTAAAATTGGAATGATCACGGAAGCCTCCACATGGAAATCTTTTTGATTGATTGACTGACTAATTTTTTTTTTCACGGCTTACCAGCCCTTTTCAGGGTATTTAAAGCCATAGAATGCTTTTTTGATTCTAACAATTTTTGGTGTAGATATTAATGATTTTATTGATACATGTCCTACTAATTAATAGATAGATGGATTAGAAACGATGAATTCATATTTTTTCCTGGATTATTTGCGAGAAAGGGAATATAATGGACTCGACATGAATTAGAACTTGACTCCTTAATTTATTATTCATTACATTAACCGCACATCAAAGTTTACATCATCTGGTATTAAGAAGAGTTCACTCATGCAGGTAATAACCAGAATCGAATTCGGTGTTCGTACGAGAGCCGGTGAGACAAGGTAGGTGATGAAACAGTAGAAGAGTAAAAATAACTAAGATAGTACCTTTAGAAACTGAGCGGTGAGAGAAGAAGCGATCGAGAGAGTACAAATTAAAGAAACAAAGGAAATTACAGGTAATGGATGCCGAAAAAGATGATGAAAAGTTAAAAATAAAAAGAGTCAGAACCTTTAGAAAGAGGAAGTTGCAGATGAAAGGAAAGAGAAGAAAAAAGACAAATAAGAAAGAATGTGTAGGGAAATCAATCAGGAATGAAAAAGTTAAAGAGAGAAAAAATAACAGATGAGAATGGGTTGAACGTGAATAAAGAAGTAATGAGAGAGAAGAAAAGAGAAAGTAGAAAAGGAAAATTACTTGAGACAGTAGTTTGCGGAGAAATGATATTGAGAAAGGATATAAAATGTGTAGGGAAAATGGAAAGAGAAATAAGTATAATAAGATAGATAGAGATCAATGTATTTGAAAAGAAAGACGACGTTGGATAGCGAAAGAAGAAAAAAAGAAGCGATAGATTGTAAAAATCATGAAACTAAAGAGAGGAAATGAGAAAGATGAAAAGAAATATTACAGGAAGTGGTGGGCACAATGGCTACTAAAAGGGAGACAACTAGAAATAAGAAAGTAGAAAAGAAAATAGAAAAAGGCCTTTAGACAGACAGGTGTAGGACAGTGGTTCTCAAATGGTGCGCTTAGGCGCAATGTTGCGCCCTGGAAGTTGTCTAGGTACGCCCTTGCATTCCAGAGAAATATATAAGCAATAAATATATTTAGTTTATCGTTCATATTTATGTGAATTAGGCTGTTTTTGCTCTCAATACAATTAAGCGTAAAAAGAAGGGGACTCTTCAATTTATTGACAAGATGTTGCCTATCAAATATACGCCCAAACATTGAAGAAATCGCTTAGACTCATCAGGATGATGTTTTTTATAAACACAAGAATGAATAAATTGAAGGTATGTTTCATTTGATATATATATTTTTTTATTACATTATTTCTTTTCTGCAATATTTGACTTCATTAAAACATTTTTTTCGCAATTTGCATATAGTGCTCCTACAATTATCGGTAGGATTTCAAGTGCACACCGATTTAAAAAGTTTGAGAACCACTGGTGAAGGACAATGGCTTTGAGAAAGGAAATAAAATGAGTTCGAAAAAGAAAAAGAGAAATAAGTAAAATGAAAGAGGTAAAGGGTAATGTCTTCGAAAAAGAACACAAACAATTTAAAAGAAAAAAAAACGGATAGATGGAAAGGTAGTGCAGAGAAAGAAAGCATGAAGAAAAATATGACGAGGAAAGGAGAGTTGCTGGGTACAAAAAAAGATACAACCAGAGATAGGAAAAGAGAGAGAGAGAGAGAGAGAGAGAGGAAAATAAATTAAAGGAAAAGAAAGAGGGGCCTTATCTTTGAAAAGAAAGACAACCAGGGGTAGCAAAACAGAAAGAAGATAAAATAGAAAGAAAGAGAGAGAGAGAGAGAGAGAGAAAAATAAATTAAAGGAAAAAGAGAGAGGGGCATTATCTTTGAAAAGAAAGACAACCTAGGGTAGCAAAACAGAAAGAAGGTAATATAGGAAGAGAGAGAGAGAGAGAGAGAGAGAAAGACAGACTGCAGACTGAGGAATATATATTAAAGGAAAAAGGGGAGGGACATTATGTTTGAAAAGAAAGACAACCAGGGGTAGCAAAACAGAAAGAAGGTAATATAGGAAGAGAGAGAGAGAGAGAGACAGACTGCAGACTGCAGACTGAGGAATATATATTAAAGGAAAAAGAGGGAGGGGCATTATGTTTGAAAAGAAAGACAACCAGGGGTAGCAAAACAGAAAGAAGATAAAAGAGGCAAAATATAGATAGGTGATGCCTATGAAAAGCGAAGACACGTGAATACATTTAATGATAAAGAAGATAAGTTATAAAAATGATAAGAGGATAATTGCCGTCAGAAGAAGGAAAAGAAAAAATATAGAAACGAAATAATACAACAGAGAGAGGAGCAATGCTTTTGAAAGAGAAACAAAGAGAGAAATAACGACGGAGAAAGAAGAAAAGAAATAAAACAAAAGAGAGAGAGAGAGAGATAAAGTGATAGAGAGGTGATGGTGATAGAATGAAAGAAAGCAAAAAAGATATAAAAGAAAAAAGAAAGAGGGGCATTTTTTTAAAAAAATAGAGACAAAAGATAACACAAGACAAACGAGAGAAGATATAAAAACAGAATGATGGGCGGTGTCTCATCGAATCCAAGTGACATATTGAAAGAAAAAAAAGAATTAATAAAAACGACAAAATTGTTAATTGCTTTCAGGTATAAGAAATGAAGAAATATAACAAGATAGTCCTTGAGAGGAAATTGAGAAAGAGAAAGAAGAAAAGAAATATGACGAGAGAAAGAGAGAGAGAGAGAGAGAGAGAGAGAGAAGAATAACAGCTTTGAATGACAAACAAGGACAAACATGGTCCTGTTATAAAAGTGTTGATTGAATCCAGTGACTTAACCTAAAATTTCGATACCTTGCTACGGCTGAGGTGAACAAAAATGTTGGTGAGTTGAGTTTAAGGAGATAACTGATACGGATACATTCAAAGAGTCATGATACGTGGAACCAGAACTATCAACCCCGGTGGACAAAATAAAGAAATTCCAATCACCTGAAGAAGACCTGGGCGTACAACGACTAAAACTTCGTGGATATGGCAACAAAGAAAAGGACAACAGTCCGAACAATATAGTATAAATAATGAAAATACCCCATCTCAGATATATAGACAGAAACAAGGAGATTGCGAAGAGAAAGAGTAAAATGATTGGCCAAGAGATAGAACGGTAATGGCTTTGAAATAAAACAACGAGAAACTGTGAAATAGAAAGAAATATGTCAACAGATAGACGGGGATATGAGGATAGAAATAAAAAAAAAAAAGAATAAATGGAAATATTTTGCATTGAAAAAAACAGAAAAGGTTAAAATACAAAGTGGTTTAAGATATTACGGTAGCGTTAATGTCTTTTCAAAAAAAATATAGGGAAAAGCAGGAAGAAGATGAAGACATACAAAATATGATACAAAGTAGACACGTCTACCTTAGTAAACAAGGGACATAGAGGAAATAAAAGAAAACGCAGTAAAGAAAACTAGACACTTGATAATGTGATAATGGCTTTACAAATGGAAGTCAGTAGAAAGAGCGAAATATAGAAAAAGATACAAAACGGCGACGAAGACCACAAAAACCTAGAAGAGGAGAATATGCACTTTGCTTCTCTTATGTGCTATGACATTTGAAGACGCAGACGTCGTCCGGCTCGCCGCAGCTTCCTGTCTTTGTAGATTTAAGCAATATTTAGCCAATAACAATCACTTGCATACCATGTTCTACCAATAATTTACACTAGTTCGTTAGGTTGAATACTGTCATTTTCCCGTTGCTCCTTTTGCTTTCAATATATCCTGTGCGTGTTACATTCTCCAGGCCCACTTTCCAGATTAGCTCGCAGCAGTTAAAACTGTCCCTTTCTGATTCAAATTATATACTTTCTTACCATTCGCATTTTAATCAAATCCTCCACGTGGCCCATATGTCCTGCCAGTGGTATTCTGAGCACCTTTCTATAATAGAATATCTATATGGCATCCAGTCAACTTTCGGACATATGATGTTGAAAGACAGGTTGCTGTATGATCACCAAGTTAAGCAAGGTCGAGCCTGGTCAGTACCTAGAGGGGTTATCACTTGAGAAAACCTGGTTTTGTGAGATGGATGTCCGGCTGGTGTAATGGATAACGGCTCGGAATTGTTAATAAGAGAGCCGAGTTCCAATTCCTGTTGGGTTCGTTATATTCATTTACGCGCAGATATCGCTGGAAAAGGTGCGAATTCAACATTCTTCCCCAGCTATGGATTAATTAGTAAGACATTCTTCACTAAACCATTATTATCTAAAAAATATCATCATATGATCTTAGAATACAAATCACTTAATCAGTCAATCAAGGTGTGAAAAATCTGACTACCATTGACTGTCATACTGGAGGATTGATATTATATTGCAGTTGAACACAAGTATATTATTCGAATATATTCTGTCTATTCGATTTTGGAAATCATAGCTCGGCTGGTTTCTGTGCCAAATTGTACACTGTCTGTTATAATAATTCCCAGAATATTCGAATTAAATTTCCATTCATGCATGTGCTGTGTTCTTTAGGACCACTTCATCCCTATCTTGTCGCTCTCAATAAGTTTCGTCCTTCTGCCACTTTCCCCAGACCACGTTCTGTTATCCACTAGATTTATCCCGCCTGATAGGTCATGCGTTGCTTTCCCTCTCTCTTTCCTTCTATTCGACCTGTGAGTATCATATTCTCGAGGACTTCCTTCTTCATTACGTGTCCCAGAAACTTCAGCAGCCTCTTCCTGATGTTAAGTATAAGCCTCGTTTGTATAATCTGCAAAACCACATCGTTGCTCGGCCCAATATTATCCTCAGCATCCTTCTGTAGAAACACATCTCCGTCGCCTCGAGTCTCTTATTCATCTTTGTGGAGATGATCCAACATTCGCTACAGTAAAGGAGGAGAGTGACATAACAGTTGAATACTCTTTTTTTTTTAACAAAGAAATGTTCACATATCCCGTAAGTTACCCCCCCCCCCATGTCGCTAATGACCATGAATTTTTCTTCTCTTCTCAATTCCCCTCTTAATTTTATTATATGTTCATTAAGTTCTGCCAGTTTCTCTGTCTGTCGTAAGCACAGAGTCATCAGCGTATCTAATGCTTTGAAGAGTTTTTTCCACTAATAATGTTTCCCTTAGGATCGTCTTGCCAACAAAAAATCCTTAAAGGATCTGTAGTTATCTTTTCATCGTTTTGCTGATATATGTAGTTTGTATAAATCTGATATATATATATATATATATATATATATATATATATATATATATATATATATATATATATATATATATATAGTCGACTCTCCGTCGATTTCGACGTATGAGGTCAAACAGATCAGTTCCCAGAAACCGACAGCCCGACAACGACACATGAGATTTGATTATAATGGTGAAGGTTTTCTGCGAGACCAGCCACACTTTTAAAGAGCCGAATTCAGAGACCTGGTGCACTAGTATATATATATATATATATATATATATATATATATATATATATATATATTTATATATATATACCCTTTTATCTCTTTTTTTACTAAATTCTTCCCGAATAATTGTTTCTGGAATATTTCAAAATCTTTCTCAAATAAATCAAGATTTCCTCACAGAGAATTTTGGAAGAAATATACCATAGCAGATGAAGACCATTTAATATAAGTGAAGCTAGTAATCAGAGTGTTGAAAAGGAGGCTTATTTGTTTTTAAAGAAAGTGTCCCGATAATGAAATAAAATCAGTTACAGATTTTTTTTTTTTTCAGTAAACCTGTCAGGTGATGGAATTAGTTCTTAACACAGACAATGAAATTCGACGAAGTCACTTAAAAGCAACACCTGTAACGTTCACAAAAAAAAAAGTTACATATTAGATAAATCTTTAACAGAAGTAACTAAAAAGAGTAAAACAAAATCAAAAGAAATGAAATCCAGTAAATCTGTCTTATATAACTAGTGTACAGACAATAATAAAAGGAAACTGCTTTTCAGAACTTAAGCAAGGTTTTAAGAGAAATATACAGAAATTATTAACAGAGTAAAACAAAAAGCAAAAAATAAAGTAAAAGCGTCTTTTTCAGATAACTTGTGTAGGGCTAATAAAATAGCGAAATATGCTTTTCAAACCTAAGCAAAATATTAAAAAATTTATGGAAATGACTGAAAAGAGTAAAAAAAACGAAAAAAGAAAAATAAAACCAATTGTCAAATAAATATTCACACCAAGCAAGGCAATAAAACCACTAAATGTAAGAGTTTACTAAGTGTTAAAAGAATATGAAAAAAAATCTATTAATTAGAGAACAATAAAATAATAAAATTAAGAAGACAGAAGATAAAAAGATTTACATTTCAAATTTTTGAAGTTCAAATTTGAAATAGTAAGCAAGAAAGCAAAATTTTGTTCAACAAGTGAGAATTTGGAGAAAAAACTGTTAGCATATAATTTATGTTTATATCTATCGATTTCAATTGTAAAATAATGAGACCTTACATCCAATCTAGTATTCGTTGAAATTCATCAAGTATATTACAAACATCTCCATGGAAATATTTATAGAATTTTCACTGATCTATAGTAAATGATAATAGCAAAGACGCTTTCAGAACCTAAGCAAAATTTAAATAAATTTACTAAAATGACTAACACAGTGAAATAAAAACCAAGAAAAGAAACTAAGTGAATCTTTTTATAGAACTGGTATATGGCAAATAAGAATAGTGAAAGATGTTATATAAAAGGAGTGATTGTCAGGGAGCATGAAGAAATATTCTCTAGGCCTTTGAAATTTTCAAGACAAATTGTAAATGAAATAAAGGAAAGAACAAACGAGGTTAGCTAAATTAATAATATCCATCGATGCATAGGCTGCAGGCGGTATTGTTTATTTAAAAGAGAAGAGAATGACTATATCTTATAGCCGAAGCCATAAGCATATATCACGACAAGGAAGAAAAAAATTAAAGGAGACGACCAAAAAAAATGAAAATGAAGGAATGGTTAAATGAGATAAGGAATGAATAAATATCAGAAATGAAAGCAAAAATGGCAACTGGATAAGAAGAAACGCGGGAAAAGTCAATAATAATAATACTAATAATAGTAATAAAATACAAAAATATGAATTCCAAAGTCGTCATGTATTCTTTTTTCGCTATCTTATCACGAATGGATGGATGGCGACTACTTTCTTTTCATAATTCTTTTTTTATCTTCTTTTCTTTATAGTATTTTTCAAATCATTTCACTCCAAGAAAGATAATGAAGCCACTAAGACATAAAAGTTTACTAATTGTTAGAGAATATGAAAAAAAACAAAAAAATTATTAACGAGAGAGAACAATAAACGAATAAGAATTAAGAATACAGAAGATAACGATTTACCTCTCAAATTTCTGAAGATCAAATTTGAAATGGTAAACAAAAGCCAGATGATTGGGAAGTGCGAGAGGAGAAACTGTTAACATAGAACTTATGATTAAATCAACCATTTCAACTGTAAAATGATGAGACCTTACAGCCAATCTAGTACTGCGTGCTGATATTCATCAAGTTCATTTGAATTATTTCCATGGAAATGTTTATTGAATGTGCAGAGGACGCTGGGTTTGCAGCGGAGGGGGAGTAAATTGAGATGCCAGGTCAGAACAAATAACATTACAGTTTCTTCTTTGGATATTGTCATATCTAAATATTTGTCAGGGGCAGCAGACTATATTTTGGCAGCAAAAAGAAGAGTGGTGAAGTCCGAAATATGCAAAGTTAGATTCAAAGAGAACATGGATTTATATGAATTTACACACACACACACACACACACACACACACACACACACGAACACACACACACACACACACACACACACACACACACACACGAACACACACACACACATATATTGATAATATGTACTGATAAATACATATATATATATATATATATATATATATATATATATATATATATTAAGAATTGACAAAGTCCGACAATTAAAATTTATTTAATAAATTCTTAATGTATGACGTCATTTGTTTACATTTGATACGCCATGAGCAGTTATGAATGTACGAGATTCATGGAAAGATTGAAGTTTATAAGCAATAAAATTCGACCGAACGCTCCTTTGTGTCCGAGTCGGTTAAGGCACGTCAACGTAAATGACGGTTCCGTATAGGATGCAGTTTCGAATACTGTCAAAGGACGAATATTTTCGATGAAAATTTCTCGGACATTCAGGTCGGTAAATGTTACTTAATACTGTTTATTATAAA